TTTGTCAGTGACAGCAGGAACTGGGATACTCTGTCTGTACAAAATCCTCCTGTATCTCTGCTTTCACTGAACCTGATCTGATGTTTGGTGATTCTCCCCAAACCTCCAGCCTCTCATGCAGAGGATGGCCCCCATAGGAGCTGTGGGCTGCATCCCAGCAGTGTGGGTGTGTGATTCCCAGCACACTGGGAGCAGGACGGGGCACTCAGCACTGCCCAGCACCGCCCAGCACCACCCAGCTGCGCTGCCCTGCCCTGGCACCCCAGGTCCTGATGGGTCATGCCTGGAGGATTAATGACCTTGCAAGAGCAGTTTGATAATTAGACTTGATTTGTTGCATCACCAGGCTGTGCTTTCCAGGAAAGTTTTAGGCTGGAGCAAAGTGCACCAGAGTAGTGAGTTTGCTGCTCTTCTGCTGCATGGTAGATCTTTCTGAAAAAGTGTTGGGAAATAATTATTTTGAATTTGAATTGGTTCAAAGTTTAGGTGGTTACTGAAAGCCATGGATGTTTGCAAGCTCCTAAAACAGCTTTGAAGTCAGGGACCTGCCTTTAAGGCCTCAGTGCAGACACCTGCACTGTGCCAGTGGAGTGTGCATGAGGTGGGGTTCACATGTACCCCACTACAGCAGAGGCAGAACCAGCGGCACCGTCACCGCTGCAGCGGGAGAAGGAGCTTGCTGTGTCAGAAGGGACTCCCAAGAAAGCTTTTCCTTTATTAAATATGCCATCAGAGTGTTTTCTGGAAGGAGATTACTATCAGAGAGGAAGAATTGCTGTTGTATCTCTAACATTTTGTGTGGGATGTGAAAAACGGGGTGTGCTGTGCTTTGCAGAAGGTGGGTGTTGTGGAGATGAACCTGGTGGTGACTGCACAGAAATGGGCTCACTGTGCTCTGGTCTGACACACTCAGGTGTAACCTCACAATCCAACAAGCTTGTCAGGATCCAAGTCTTGTAGAAATACCCTGTATTTTCAGAATGCAGAATTCTGGGGAGTGGTTTTTCCAAGGTGGGACTGCCGGGTTTCTTTTCGGTCTTGAGTTTGGCATGTTTTCCACAGTTCTGAAAGTATTCACATGAAATGCCTATGCTTTGTGGGGAATAAAACCACATTGCATAGCTGGGGGATGCTTCTGGTCTGTGGGAAGGTGCCTGGGGTCACGTACATGTTCCTGCTCCCCTGAAGGCAAGGGGAAAAGTCCTCCCGAACTGAGTCCTGATCACCAGACTGTGCTGAGCCCTGCGCTGCACCTGATAGGGTGTCACAGAAGGCTAAACATGCCAAGGTCAGGCACATCCCAATCCCACAGTCCAGTGGATGGCTCTTCATTTTTAGCAATGAAAGTGAATTGTACACAGGGGGAAATAAATTCGTGTATTAAACACCAAGAAAAAATGGAGGGTCATAATGAGGTGAGAATATTTACTGCTGCAAGGAGAGCAGAGGCAAACGTGTGCTTGCCCCGTGTTTCAGCAGGAATTCCGAGTGCAGCAGCTGCTGCAGACACGGTGCTGTGTGGCTGTTGGAGGGGCTGGCACTGGGCTGGGCTGGGCGGGCTGCCTGACGCTGCTCATCCCAGAGCCGGACCAAACATCATGTGAGAGAGCCGGGAATGCCGGGCTGGCCCTCTGCCCCTCACTCTGCTTGTCTTGAGGGACCAGAGACCTGCGGGGCCTCTGCCGAGGAGTGTGCTGGGGAGCCTCAGGAGCATTTGTAGTAAGTTTTAGTCCAGCAGGACTGTGGTAAACCCCCCCCCCCGGTGTTCTGGTGCAGCCCATGGGGACACTGCAGCGTGAAACTGCCGCCTCTGCATATGCTCACAGATAGGATTCTTTTTGTGATGACTGAAAGGGGTTCAGAAAAGGTTCAGAGAGATGAAAATCTGCCTTGAACTCTGTTGACTGCAGTTACTGGGATCCAGTAACAAGGTAATTAGGAACTGCTTGCCCGCAGGGTCGAGGGGATGAATGCTGCCCGTGTTCTGGGCAGATCTGGGACAGGGGTTTGCAGCCTGCGGTTTCCAACTCCTGGGAGCTCTGTGGACCATTTGTAAAGGTTCATGGAATAAAAGTAAAACAAGAAACCCTGTTCCCAAACAGACAAGTCTGCATTTCTTTTGGGGAATTTGCTAAGATATGCAAATTTTAAAAGACTGAAGGTTAAAGGTGCCCTGGGCACCAAAGCCACAGGCAAACAAAGAGGATGTAAATGTTTTGATAGTAGCTGGTGATAACAAAGCATGAGCAGTTTACCTGGGGATGTGGTATATTCTTGTAGTCTTTAACTCAGAGTAAATTGTTTTCCTTGAGAACCAGCTCCTAAGTGGATAGAAATGATGGCCTCGATGGGGAAGCAGCAGCAGGGCTCCTTGTTTCCCGGGAGCCAGAGGACATTGCATTAGATCTCGAGAATGGTTTTTTATGGCTTTTAAAGCATTTGAGTGTATGAAGTACATTAAGTGGTCGGGATGTACAACATGTACTGCCAGGCGTTGGATCCCATCCAGAGAGCTGTGGGGCAGCCTAAACCCCAGCACTGAAATGAGGACATTGAGTTTAATCTGCATTTTGGAATCAGGTTTGTTAACTGCTCCTCTCTGATTCCAGCAACACATGTTGTAGTTCCATGTTACTCGTTTAGCAGTAATTAGCTCTGATTTTTACACTGTGCTCACGTAAGATCTCATTTCCGAGGCAGCTGTTAAATGTGTCAGTCTGCCCCGTGTTACTGAGGAGTAGCAACACCTAACATGGGGTTAGTGTTGAGAGAAGAATTGATTTAAATGAAGCTGTTCCAAAGTGCAGGCCTTTACCTGCCAGTTCACACAGTGTTGAAGTGCTTTGGGGGGCCTGGGGGCGCTGAAATGAGTTGGTTTAGCTGTTAAAGGAGAGAACTGGGGGTCATTTTGCCCCAAAGCACCCCTTGAGCTGAGAGCTGCCTTCCCTGAGTGAAGGCTGCCGGGTGACAGCTGGGAGATGTCCCAGGCATCGTTGGGCCGTCCGGCCCAGGCTGTGCTGGCCCTTGGGCAGGTCTGGCCACTGCCCCAGGGTATCAGGTGCCAGCTTTGGTCCCTGTAGACAGGGATGGGGCCGCCCTCTGGGGCTGGGGGTGTCTAGGGAGCACCCATGGCTGGAGCAGCCAGCAGCAGATGAGCATTTCCAGGCGTGTACAGGTGTATTTACACACGTATAAACCCTGCTTCAGTTAACAGGGACTAAAACTCTCACTGCGTGAGCACTGATCCCTGTGGCCACCACTTCTGCTAATGCATTGTCGCTGTTTGTTACTGGAGTATCCAAATCCTTGTTTGCTTTAGGAAGCTCCTTTCCCCTGGAACAATATTTCCTCAGGCAGCACATGTTTTTTTTCCCTGTCTTATCTGCAGTACAGTTGTTGGCTTTTTGGCATTCTCTGGCCCCTGTCTTGATTGCTTTCTAACACTTGGGGATGTTATTAGGAAGATTTTCTTGCAAGTGACTTCAGTGGTACTCTCCAAGCATCACCTCTGCTGAGGACAGCACACAGTCCCCTCAGTCCCAGCCCACAGGAGCCCCAGCCTGGGCTCTGTCAGGGAACAGCAAAGGGCCCCCATCCGAGGGCTTGGGGGAGCCCCCCAGCTCTTGCCACAAACAAGAGCGATGTCCCCCTCCCCTGCTGCCCCACAGGGGGGTTTCTGGGTGTCAGTGCACATGATCAGGGCATGTGGACCTTCTGGTCCACCAACACCCACGCAGTCATTGTCTCCAGATCTCTCTAAGTGCTCTCCATAATTGTGGTGTGTTACCTGAAGACAGACACAAAACTTGGCATATTTTTCTTTTATCGGGTCTGTCTTCCTGTGCAGGGATCACTCAGATTGCAGCTGAATAACTATGAAAATGAGTCTTAAGAAGGTTGCAGTGCCAGAGGAGAGATGGACTGGGAAAGGGGCAGCAGCAAACCTGTTATCCCAGCCTTTAGGGCAGACAAAAATCATCCTACAAATTAGATTTCTGGCAGATCGTTTAACAAGGATAAATTTTAACTTTCTGAGCAAAATTGCAGCATAAGGTCAAACTGTATTGAATCAATTTTTTCCCTGATAAAAACGATTTCTTACTCAAATTAAGTCTGTCTTTTGCCTTGTCATTGTTCTTGTTTGGATTTATTTCAAAGATGAATGAGTAAAGGAAAAAAATGTAATTTAAGGAATCTGGTTGGTTGGTTGGTTGTTTTTTTTTTTTAGAAAATAATTCAATTGTCCTTTTTAATTGTGGGTTTTTTTTAATTTTTATTGTTGCCATCCCTTTAGTAAAAGCATGTGCTTGGTGTTAAAAACTTTAAAGAACAATTAGTTTGTAAAGCTTCTGAATTAATGAACTTGCATTTTCTGAAGGTTCCTGTCATGTGGCATCGCAACTCTGTGCTGTGAGAGAAGGGGAGGTGCAGTGGGGTCTGGGTGTGCATCGTGCACAGGGTTGTTGTTTGTTTCTGGATATCAATGGTTGTCACATTGCTGAACATCCTTTCATCCTGGTTAAACTGGTGCATGAAATCTGTTGTTTACAACATCTGAATTTCGTGAAAAATTTAGAAACAAGGCAGTTCTGGTTTTCCTGTTTGGTTTACACATCACAACAAAAACGCATCCTATGGAGGAGGTTTCCCTCAAAGATGCTGCATCCCGGGTCTAGTGAAGTGCAGTGGTGCTGATTTCTCTCATGGAGCAGGAATGTGTCCCCACAGAGGAGGGACATGCTCTGCTTTCAGAACAACTCCTATTTGCTCACCTTCAGGAACGTTAAAAAAACCCAGCATGTTTCAGAGTTGTGCTGCAGAAATCCATGGCTCAGAAAAGCAAAGGAAGCAGCAGATAAAGGGACTGTGAAGTGGCTCTGGGCAGTGCGTGACAGCCCTTTCCCCTGGCCGGCAGCCTGGGCTGTGTTTGCTTTAGCCAATGACATAAGGAACAAAGATGCACCCACAGCTTCTAATCCAACTCTGTCAATTCTCTTCAGGGTCGGTGTTCGAGGGAAAACTGCAAATATCTTCACCCCCCACCACACTTAAAAACGCAGCTGGAGATCAACGGCCGCAATAACCTGATCCAGCAGAAGAACATGGCCATGCTGGCCCAGCAGATGCAGCTCGCCAATGCCATGATGCCCGGAGCCCCTCTGCAGCCCGTGGTACGTGTCTGGGGCTCCCACCAGGGAGGATGGGGGCCTGGGGCTGAGGGCAGGTGGCACAGGCTGGCACACTGAGATCCCACAAAGGTCAGGAACGGGTGGAGAAATCAACTGCCAAGAAGTGCCGGTCTGTGTGTCTGTGCTGTGTCATTCCACCTTGCCTGAAGTAATATTGTTAAATCATTTTGTTAATCTTTGGTTAATGTAATTCATTTTTTGCAACTTATTTCTTAAAGTTTACAACGTGAGTGATCTGCGTAGGATTTTCATTTTCTTTGCAATTTCATGTGCTCTAGGAAACTCTTGGCTTTGAGAAGATGCCCACTGGATGTTTTCCCTTCACTCAGGGGAACCTTCCCAGGGAATTGCTTCCTGGAATTAGACTTTGGTTTAGGGGGAGCTGGGCTCTGCTAGACCATGAACAGGGGAAGTGTGCATGTCCTGCCTTGCACCTGTACAGCACATCACAATGTACCTGTGAGCGTCAGAATGGTGTGAAGTGGCTCTGATAACATATGCTGTTACTCTGCAGTGGTTGAAAGGCTGCAGGATATTTATATTGGTATAAAATGAGCTCAATAGAAAATAAATGGGATAGTCCTTTATTTACTGTAAAGCAAGTGTATTGGGCTGAAATCAAACATTGATATCTCTTAAGTTACACTCTAGCAGACTGGTTCGTAGTTCTATTTTTAATGTTCATTATTACCTAGCTGATAACACAGTAATGAAAAGTTCAGTTAATTAATAGTGTTTATAAGACTGCTATCTCATTTCCTGTAAACTCTGCCTGTTTGTTTTTCATTCACATGGATGAAAATCCAGAAGTGTCACAGACATTATCACCATTTACACAACTCTCAGTCTACTTTCTCCAGTAATCCCTTCATGTTTTTGTCCAGTGCTTCCAATGGCCCTTGCTTCCAAACAGATCAATCATTTCCTCAGGAATACAAAACCATGCAGCATTCTGTGCTGTCTGCCTTAAGTTGATATGAAACAGAGAAAGAGTCGTGTTAACTCTGTAGTTGTTTTTCCCTCTAAAAATTAGTTTGGAAGAAAAACCTAAATGCCTTGAGTAACTGCTTTATTTAGATAATGAAAGATAAACAGTCCTGGCTGAATTTTATTTGGCAGTTACACTGTGTGTTCGAGGGCAGGAGGGTTATTTAATCCCTGCTGCAGTCTAGCAGCTCTGTTGTTGGGTTTCACGACATTATTTGGGCTCTACACCCAATTATCTTCACACCATAGCACAGCCCACAAGGGCACCAGTCTCTTTTCTGAAAACATGCAAACAAACTAAAGAAAATTGTGTTTGCATATGCTGTCTCCCTCTGGTTTAGTGTTTTAGCCTGACTAAAGCACCTCCCTGATGCAGTGAGTGTCTGAGTATCTGCATGGCCAGCCTGTTGACTTCTGGGAAAAGAATGGATCGTGGTTGGCTGCTCTTGTTCCTGTATGAAACCTCTGCAACTCCTGAGCCAGCTCTAGCTGCCACCAGGGTCAGAGAGGCTTTGCCTGTGCCTGAAGTTGAGCATGGCTGATGCTGTGCTGGGGCTTTCAGATGCCTTTTCCCCCAGAGCGGGCACTTGTGCCCGCTGTGATCGTGTTCCCCCAGCAGTCCCAGACTGCCCCTGACCCCACAGAGTGTTCATTGTGGCATTGCTGGAGTGTGGATCCTGTAGGAGCTTGCTCCAGGAGCTGCCATGTGCTGTGGGCGTGCAGGGAAGCTGGAGCAGGAGAAGCAGCAAGGCTGGCAGAGATGCCCATCCCCGTGGTCTCACTCTTTTGTGACGTCTGCACAGATGTTCCCCATATCCCTCAAACATGACAAATGCTTCTTTCCCATCAGTAGCAGAGACTTGTTCTGCTCAAGGGGTGGCCAAAAAGGTATGGTGACAGCACGATAAGTGCAGATATTAAGTGTCTGTCCCCTTGTCTCTGCCCACAGCCAATGTTTTCCGTGGCACCGAGCTTAGCCACCAACGCGTCAGCCGCCTTCAACCCCTACCTGGGGCCTGTGTCCCCTGGCCTGGTCCCTGCGGAGATCCTGCCCACGGCCCCCATGCTGGTGACAGGGAACCCCGGGGTGCCGGTTCCTGCCGCTGCCGCCGCTGCTGCCCAGAAGCTGATGAGGACAGACAGGCTGGAGGTAGGAGCCACTTGGTGTAACTTACTTTCACAAGTGTATATGTATTATGTCTCCTAGATATAAAATATTCTTCTTGTGAAAGCAAATAATGCGGGTTTCACTTGGGCTGATAATGTGGTATCTTGGTGACGGGTGTGAACAAGGAGTGACTGAGTGATTGTACAGTAAGTTCATGCTGCTGTTCTGCTTCTTGCCCTCCCTTGCAGAAAGAAATAGAAATACTCAGGAATGACCATGGCAGCAGAAAGAGTGCAATGAAACTGGGTTAAGTGTGTGCCCAGGAGGTGTTAATGTGGTGGGGGCAAAGCTTCAGCTGCCTGGGTGCAGGATGACTTTCAGCCTCTCTTGCTTTGGCTTTGGGCAGACGGTGCCCACACTCCCCCGCCGGCCTCCTGTGCCTGCTTATCATCCTTGCTACAACCCTGACGAGTGTCGGTGCTCTGGAGCTGGTGCTCTCCCTTGCTCTGAATCTCTCTTATCTGAAAGGCCTGACAGTGTTTTCGGCACCTTATCGGTGCTGCGGCAGCGTGGGCGGTGAGCCAGCGACTGCCACCGTCTGCTGTGTGCTGGGGGCACAGCCCGTGAGCACAGCCCATGGGCACAGCCTGGGAGCACTGCTGGGGGCACAGCCCG